TCCTGTGCATTGGAGAATATTTAGCAACACATGTGGCCACTACCTACTAGGTGTCAATAGTACACCATCTCCAGATGTGACCAAACATGTCTACAGAACACCTCAAAGAGAGATAGTTATTGTAGACAGCTGATGCAAAGTAAAATAAAGATTTCTCTTTCATAATTGTAGACTCCTGCTTTAGCATATGCTCAGGTATATCAACCTCTTAATGCTACTGGTCTACCACGATTTTAAACTCAAATGTCTTCTAGTCATAAATTTAAACTGTGGTAATGGAAGAGAAGTAGTCCTACTAAAATGATTCACCAAGAACAAAAGTATTCTCTCCATCTTCCACTTAAAAGAACACCAAGGTCATTTTTTGTTAACTACTTTAATATAACCCTAGAAGTCCTGACAAATATTTGAGTATTTATTATGTGCCAGACATAGTGCCAGGTGCTAGAAAAAGATACATTTATCAACTGCATTTACTGAATTTAATGAAAAGATACATTTATCAACTGTATTTAGTTGATAAAAGATACATTTATCAACTGCATTCACTCTTATAAACAGCATTTTCTTCATGATCTTTGATTTAGCAAATGATTCCTACATATGACCACAAAAAAAAAACAAGCAAAAAAAAAAAAACACACCAAGTAAATTGGATTTTATCAAAAATTAAAAAAAAAAAACTTTTGTATATCAAAGGACACCATCAAGAAAATGTTGAGATAACTCAATAGGAGAAAATATTTGCAAATGATATATCTGATAAGAAATTTGAATCAAGAATATAAAAAGGACACTTACAACTAAATAAAAATGATCAAATTTAAAAAATGGGCAAAGAATATGAATAGACATTTTTCAAGGAAGATATTCAAATAATGAATAAGTGCATAAAAAGATACTTGACATCATTACTCATCACGGAAATTCAAATGAAAACCACAACAAGATACCTACTAGGGTGGCTAGAATAAAAAAGTTGGTTAATAACAAATGTTGGCAAGGTTGTGGAGATATCAGATTCCTCATACACTGGTTGAAGGAATATAAAATAGTGCAGTCACTTTGGAAAACAGTCTGACGGTTCTTCAAATGATTAAACATCGAGTTACCATATGATCCAGCAATTCCCAGCAAAGATAATTAAAAACATATGTTCATACAAAAATTTGTTTGTGAATGTTTATGGCACCATTAGTCATTATAGACAAAAGATATAAACAACCCAAATGCCCATCAATGGAAAATGCATTAACAAAATGTTATACAATCATGCAATGGAGTATTATCTGGCCATTAAAAAAAATGGACATCAATGAACCTTAAAAACATTATTCTAAAGTAGAGGCCTGGTGCACGAATTTTTTGGGGGGAGGTGTCCCTCAGCCCAGCCTGCAGCCTCTTGAATCTGGGACCCCTTGAGGGATGTCCTACTGTCCATTTAGGCCTGATGCCCTCGGGCAGTCAAACATCCCTCTCACAATCCCAGATTGCTAGCTCCCAACTGCCCTCCCCTGCAGGCCTGGTCCCTCCAACTGCCCTCCCCAGCAGGCCTGGTCCCCCCAACTTCCCTATCCTGTTGACCTGGTCTCCCCCAACTGCCCTCCTCTGCTGGCTTCGTCACCCCTAACTGCCCTCCCTGCAGGCTTGGTCCCCCACAACTGCTCTCCTCTGTTGGCTCAGTTACCCCTAACTGCACTCCCTGCAGACCTTGCCCACCATTCAACTGTCCTCACCTACAGGTCTAGTCCCCCCAACTGCCCTCCTCTGCTGACCTGGTCACCCCTAACTGCCCTCCCTGCAGGCCTGGTCTCCCCCAACTGCTCTCCCCTGCAGGCCCGGGGACCCCCAACTGCCCTCTCCTGTTGACCTGGTCTCTCCCCACTGCCCTCCTCTGCTGGCCCCATCACCCCTAACTGCCTTCTATGTTGGCCTGATCACCCAAAATTATCCTCCCCTGTAGACGTGGGTCTCCCCCAACTGCCCTCTTCTGCTGACCTGGTCACCCCTAACAGCCCTCTTTACAGGCCTGCCCCACCCCAACTGTCCTCCCCTGAAGGCCTTGTCCCCCACCAACTGCCCTCACCTGCAGGGCTGGTTCCCCCAACCCAACTGCTCTCCCCTGCAGTCCTGGACCCTCCCCAACTGGCCTCTCCTATTGACCTGATCTCCCCCAACTGCCATCCTCTGCTGGTCCGGTCACCCCTAACTGCCCTCCTTACAGGCCTGGTTCCCTGCAGCTTCCCTCCCCTGCTGGCCTGGTCACCACTAACTTCCCACAACTGCCCTCCCCTGCAGACCATCTTGGGGTGGCCATCTTATGTCCACAGGGGAGTGGCCATTTGACAACATGGGGGTAACCATCTTGTGTCTTGGTGTGATAGTCAATTTGCATATTATTATTTTATTATATAGGATCAAAGAATCCGCTCACAAAAGACCATGTATTATATAATTTCATTTATATGAAATGAGCAGAAAAGGAAAATCTATATACAAAGAGAATAAATTAGTGATTGCTTAGGGCAAGGAGGGATGAGAATTGGGGGCAATTGGGGGATGATAGCTCAAGGGTATGGGGTTTCTTTTTCAGATAATGTAATTTCTAAAATTGACTGGGGTGCACATGTATGTGAATATACTACAAACTGCCGAATTGTACATTTTAAAAGGGTAAATTATATCTTTATAGAGCTGTTAAAAATAGCATTTAAGGTACAATGGAAAACACAGCATTTAGACCACAGTTTATTAATGAAAATATTTTATTTAAAATACCCTTACATCTGGGGAGATCTCATTCTTTTGGCTGTGAAATAGGAAATTATTACTAAACGGTATTTAAACTATTGAAAATGTTCCAGATAAACATTTCATTTAAGACTATATGGACAGTAGGAAAAATTAAAATGCAGGCATCAAGGAACTTCAGAGGGCATAAAAAGCCATGCTTAAGACATATTAGGAACATTAAGATTCAAATGAGGGGGTTAAGAGGAGGGGAAGGTAAGTAAGAAGAGTTAAAGAGCTCACAAGAAAAGCCTCAGTCTAGAAGACTCCTTCCTTTACCAGTCTGCAGTGATGCTTAAGGAACAACACTCCTTTGTATATACTGTAAACCTTATTTTTCAGGAAGCTAAAAATAATCACCCATATGATTTATTCCAGTAACAAATAGGAAGGCAAGTAAATGCTAAAGGGCAAACACAAAGAGATTTAAGGAAAGAAAAAAAGGTAAACCAGTTCCCAGGAATAGCTTTTAGGAAGGTTCAAGTAGCATCCATTATTGCCTTTTCCAGGCAGGACATAAGATGATCTGTGCATAGCTCACAATTCCACTACTGAACATGTTCAATTTGTCGTTTTCAATACAAATAAAGTGAGTTTCAGTTTGCCTTGTGCAATATGCCAGTTAACCTATTCTATCTCATTGTGGAGCTCTTGATATGCCTAGTCCCCAGGGTCCACAGTTTACCTGACTCAAAGAATCACCAATGCCTGTGACAAGAGGGTGTGTGGGGGGGAACATTAGGGATTTTTAAAAAATCCTTATTAAATTTCAGCTTCTTCCTTGGTCATTACAAACAGCCTGGCTCACCATCAAGCAAAGTCTGGTACCTCATAGAGCAGGGTGCCCAGTTTTAAACCAAAATTAGAGCTATTTGGGATGGGGGGGGGGGGGGGGGCTGTGGCAAGGAGAAAAACAACCAAAGGCAGGACTGGCTTTTTCTACAGAGCCTCGGGTTTCAAAATGACTGCCTTGGAAGCTGAAATGACCCAGATTATTGAAGAAGGGTGGGGGGTTGGCAGGGAATGATGGGCATTCATTCTCCAGCAGAATGGCTGTGGTTTGGTGTGGGAATGGAGAATTTCAGGGAGGGGGGGGGGAGCAGGCTATACATAAAACCAGAAATAACAGGAAATGTTCTTTAGGTACCACCCACCCCTCCATCCAAGTGAATCACTGCAGTGTCAGCCTAGCATTGATTCCACGAATTGCCAAATAGGATGAGGTAAGGCACAACCCTGAGCCCTCACTACCTCCTCCCCTCGCCTGCCCCCCGCCCCCAGCGCTCAGCTGCACGCATCTCAAGGTGAGGTGCACCACACAACCCCAGAGACCTCGGCTGAAGGGCTGACGTCACCCTTCTGCATTGAGCTTCAAGGACCCATAGCAGCACTATTAAGATCCTGTCACCTAGTGGCGGAGATCCTCCCCCAGGGCTCTGCGGAGGAGCTCACGCAACGATAGAAAGATCGCAATGATAGAAAGATATGATGAAAAGTATGAGAGTGAAGGGGAGTGGGGAAAGGTCGTAAGACCCATTTCCTGTGTCGCAGAGAAAGCTCAAAGATGCCTACTGGTTTATGTAAGAGCCTTTCCCCTCCATGCGTCTTCCCTCGGAGGTGGCTGCATTGATGGCGGCGCCTGACCCCCCCTACCCGCTCCATCAGTGCGCTTGGGGGCCTCTGGTTACCCTTGTCCTGCCAGAGAAATACAGATCTCCTGGCGCTTCCCTCTTGCAATCTCGCGGGTGCGGGAGTAACCAGGAATCTGGGATCAAACCCTGAGCTCCCATGCCCGCTCCCAGCTGGCCACAGGTTAGCTCCAATTGGCACCGGAACAAGCTGGTAAAGGAGGTTAGGGAGGGGTGTTCAGAGAGGAAAATAGACTAATAAACCCGCAACTTTCCCCACAAGCTGATCTATGCAGAGAGCTTAAAAAATAAATCAATGCATTGAAAAAAAAATTGGAAAGGTCGACAACCTGCCATTACCACCACCAAGCAGCCCCTTGCAGCCTACACCAGGCAGGGTCCAGAGTCCAGGGTCCAAGCAGCCCCAACGCACCCCACATCCTGCAGCCCTGGCCCAGCACCCTGCTGGGGGTCCAGATTTGATTTTGGATTTGGGTTTTTTCCTCCCGCTTCCTTTCCCTCAGCATCACTGCACGTACTAACCCACTGCAGCCAGCTTCCAGAGCCGGCGTGGTCACTCACCCAAAAGACGAAGGAGTAGATGATAAGGAGGGTTTTGAGACACGTTATCACAGGTTTGGTCTCCATTCTCCTCGATGCCATACTACGGAGCTCCGGTGGCGGCGGTGGCGGCAGCTGCGGGCTGCAGGCGGGCGCTTGGGAGGGGGGAGGAGGCGGGGCCGGGCGGGGCGGGGCGGGGGCGCGTGCCACCAGAGGCCTCGTGCACGCGCGCGCAGGCAAGGCTGTGAGCAAGGCTGTGAGCTAACTTGAGCGCGCCCTCCACGGGGCGCCCAATGAAGGAACAGGACCTGGTAGTGACTATGCATGTTGAGAAGGCTGCCTGCCAGGGCCAGGCCGCGCAGGCCCAGACCCCCAGCCAAGCAGCCGCACCAGACAGCTGGGAGTGAGAGCCTGGAGGTTTGGTAGTTTGTCAAGGCTACTAGTAAGTCTTACAGGCCGCTGTGGCACATTTACTTTGCACGTAGTAGGACTTTACATATGCCTGCTTTCTGCACCTGGCTACGAGATGATTATTGGCATCCCGGAAAAGCAATTCTGTTTCTACATTTGGACGCCCCCCCAGTTCCTTCTCAGTTGGAAGTGGCCCAGTAGTCATGTCCTTGGAACAAGCAGGCCTTGTTTGTGCCAGGAACAGACTGTGACAGGTGGTTGGAGATACAGCTGGAGGGATAATCAGAATCCCGGAGTTCAGACAGACACCCCAAATCCTTACGACCATTTTTTTTATTTCCTCACATTTTGAAATGATGAAACTGAATGACAAAAAGTTCTCTATGAAGGTACCATTATTCCCGCACATTAAATGTTTAACAGATTAAAAAAATGTTTAAAGTGCCCAAGAATCATTTTCCCCATCCTAACAAGTACAAACCAGGAAAGAGAGCTGTATCAAGGTAAAAAAAATAATGCTCAAAAACAATTAGAAAATTTCTCAAAAAAGCTAAATATAGAGTTAGCATATCAGCCAGCAATTCCACTCCTAGATATATACCCAAGAGAAATGAAAACATCTTCACACAAAAGCTTGTATGTGAATGTTCATAGCAGTACCATTTATCATAGCCAAAAAGCAGTAACAACCTTAATGTCCATCAATTATGAATGGATAAACATAATGTAGTGCATACATTCAGTGAAAAATTATTTGGCCACAAAAAGGAATGAAGTACTGATACAACATGATAAGTGAAAGCAGCTAGACACAACACAACACATAGTAAGTGACCCATTTATAGGCAACACAATAGATCTACAGAGACAGAAATAGATTAGCGGTGGCAGGGGGGTACCAGGAATAAGGAGTGACTATTAATAAATAGGGGCTTTCTTTGTGGAGTGACAAAAGTGTTGTGGAATTAGTGGTGATGGTTGCACATATGTGTGAATATACTAAAAACCACTGAATTGTACACATTAAAAGGGTAGCTTTTATGGCATATGAATTATATAAAAATAATAACATACACTGCACCCAGATTTCCTGTGGCTCCTTTGTTGAGGAACACACAGTACAGATTCTGTGGGAGATGGAGCTTGATTCCTGAGCAGCTCGCAGCCAAAGGAGCAACACTATCACAAGCTAACTCAGTCATGGGTGATGTTAAGGGTATTTCTTGTGAAGGAATAAAAACAGTCCATAAAACTTGAGGAAAGCCTGCCAAGGTCAGTTGTTGCAGGAGTAATTATTGCCTCCAATGAGTTATACATGGTCCCAGGTCAGTGAGGTCATTGTATAAATAGGACACAAATATGAGGAAGAGAAGAACCTGCCTAAGGAAATGACCAACCATTATAAAAGGTTATGTGGATTTAGAGGGGTGTAGAGAGGAATATGGGTACTGGTTTAAAAAAGATTAGGAAAGGATTTCCAAGTTTCTGTTGTAAAGGAAGACCCTGCATAATGATTCCCAATTCTGGTTGCTCATTTGCTTCAGTTGGAGAGCTTTAAAAAACAAACAAAAAACTATGACTGCCTGTATCCAATCCCAGGTAGCCTGAGTCATTTGGTGTGGGGTACAGGCTGAGCAGTTTTTAAAGTTCTTCAGCTGGTCCTAATAGGAATCAAGTTGAGGGAAACTCCCAATTGCAATAAGCTTAAACTCAACGTCAGAAAGGAGTGTCTCCTCCCCCTTTACAGCTTTCAGGCAGCAGTAGGAAAAGGACACTGAAGACTAAAAGTTCATTGGGTACCCTTACCCAAGCTAAGGTTTAGCTTCAAAAAGTCTTGGCCATACTAACCTAATTTTAGTTTAGCCTTCAACATAATTTGTTCCCTGGATAATAGAAGAAATCTGAATACAGTAAGTTTAAAAGATTGAATTGGTGCTTGAAATATATTGGCTTAGTTGTAATTTTTACACAGATTAATTATATTGAGGTATAAGATACTCAGCAAATTGCAAATTCTTTTGTACAGAGGTGTGAATAACAGTCATAGTAATCTTTTTTATAAATTGCATACTTAATACACCTCCTATATATGGTCATTTTTCTCTGGTAGTAGTTGCTATAAGCCTTGCAATTCTAATGTGGTTATCCTCTGCTAGTTTCAGCAATGCATGTATTATTATGCATTGGATAATAGTTTTAGTTTTTGTTTTTGTTTTAAGCTTTGTCAGATGACTCTGTTTTTCTTAAGTACGTGTTTCCCTACTTTAAAAATAATTACTGACAAATATGCATTTCCTATATGTTTGTTTATACTTGGATTATAAAAAACACCACTTTGTTTTATTTTTTAACTTGCTGCGCTGTTTTGATATTTTTTTTGTTAGATTATGTTTAGAAACTTTGCATGAGTTCATAAGTCTTAATTATGAAAGTGTTTACGTGATTGTGCCATTCCAAAGTGCATCAGAACTGTCATTTCCTTCTAGTATCTTCTCAGGAATAATACAATTCAAGTATTTCATCACCATTTGGTAACACACAAACTCCAGTGACTCCCAAGGACACTCACAATGTTTATATTCACAGGCTGTTTGTAAGGGTGTGGGTATGTGTGAAGGGGTGCGTGTAGACACGCTGTGTTTGTGTGTATCTCTATGTAATCAGATATATACCACATTGAAAATATTCAATGAAAATCTCTAGGTGTGTAGATATATGTTTGTGTGTATCTCTTTCCTTTTGTTTACAAATGTTCAAAAAAACCTCAGAGTGGCCCTCTTCAATAGAAGAGATGTAGATTCCAAGCAACCCATCTTTTTTTCCCAGTATGTTCTGTACATAATTACCAGAGAGTATCAGTATCAGACATATATAAGGCATATATATATTTGCCTATTAGCAGTGGTGACTAAATTGTCAGGTTAACATGTGCTATTCCCTACAATAAAAATACTGTGATATGGACAAGTAGAAAAGCATTTCTTCAACCTCTCAGTGACAACCAGGGAGTTTATGTGCGGACATCAGTCACCTTTGGGGTTGCTGTGTACAATGAGATTTATAATCATGATATTCTTGGGTGGTAGTTCTAAGACAATACTAATACAAAGCATTCCAGCTCTTGCTGGCAACTACTGTTTAACAATCAAATCTGCGATAATGGTTGGAAGTGGTGGGATTATGAAATTGTAAATGTTTTTAGAAAAACTTGTGAAGAAAATGAATCCAAGTGTTTCATGTGAAGCTGTTGAGCCGTTTATATCATGCATTCCAGTCTCATGGAAGAAATTTTTAAAGATTAAAAAATAAAATAATCAAAATGCTTTTTTAAAAAGTCTTGCCCAATCTGACTCCATAAAGGGGTCAGAAATCGCAATTTTCAACCAAACAGGGACATTACTAAGCATCATAAATAATTTTGTGAATGAATGTATGATAAATGGTACCCATCAGCTCAATTCACACCCCATTTCAGAGTTTTTTTGGAAATTTTTTAAGTCATCTACATATTAGGTTCAGATTCTTGAAAATTTGAACTGTTCTGGCAAAATAAATTATTTAAATGTAAAGATAAATATGAATATGCAGTAATGGAGTTAATGGGCAAATTAGCATAGCTGGTGGCTAGACCCTTACTCCTCAAATTGTGGATATAATAGGGACAAAATATTCCGATTTTCTCAAGATTGATGAGTTTCCTTGCACTTTGGATTTTCCTTGCTCTTGGGCAAAACAAACCTTAGGTGACACCCCAAGCCTATATTTACAAGATCCCCGTGAAATTCAAATGCATAGTCATATTTGTCATTAGTCATTAACTGAATTGTGTTGCCCAAAATCACAAGTTGAAGTCCCAATCCAAGTACCTCAGAATGTGATCCTATTTGGAAATAGGGTTGTGGCAGATGTAATTATTTAAGTCCAGATGAGGTCATACTTGAGCAGGATAGACCCTTAATCCAATATGACTCGTATCTGTAAATGAAGAAGAGACACGGGGAGAAGGTCATGTAAAAACACAGTGGCACACAGGGAGCCTGACATGTGACTGAATGGAATGAGGCAGTTGCAATGGAAGAAATGCCAAGGATTCAAGATCACTTGTAGAAGCTAGGAAGTAGCAAGAAAAGAATCTCCCCAACCTCAGAGGAACCATGGCCTTACAGACACTTTGATTTCACACTTCTCAGCTCCAGAACTTGAAAGAATAAATTTCTGTTGTTTTAAGCCACACATTTTGTGATACTAATACATGTCTAAGATTCACTGGTCTCCAGTTCATCAAAATATAACCACAGCTATCATATCACCCCGCAATTCCACTGCTAGGCATATACACAAAAGAACTGAAAACAGGTGTTCTAACAAAAACTTGTACATGAATGTTCAAAGTAGCACTAGTCATAATAATTTAAAGGTGGAAACAACTTTAAAAAATGTCTATCAACTGATGAATGGATAAAGCAAAATGTGATATATCCTTAAACAAAATACTATTCAGTCATAAAAGTGAATGAAGTACTGACACACGAGACAATGTGGATGAACCTTGGAAACATTATACTGAGTGAAAGAAGCCAGACACAAAGACCACATACTGCGTTATTACATTTATATAAACGCAAAACAGCCAGAGACAGAAAGCAGAATAATGTTGCGTGAGCCTGAGGGAAAGGGGAATGGGAAATGAC